GTCTGGTCCCCTGACCCACTGAAGATGAAATTGAACAATTTATATACTTTGGGAATTGTAAGGTCACAGAATCAGTCTAGCAGGCTGACCTTCACAGGTGTGTAATCAATTGCAAAGAAAATGTGCAATAACTAAATATGAAAACTTAGAAGCAGTTTTTGAAAAAAAAAGCCAGTTTTCTCCAATGCTGGCTGGCCAGCGTTGGAAAAATACAAGTTTTCCTGAAATGTCAGCACACCTGGAGCCACATTTTAAAGGTGCTTTGGACTGTCATTCCTTTATTATCCAGTAAAATATTTTTGATAATTTGATTGTTTCTTTTTTGATGTTCGCAACTGTTGTATCTTCCCTTTAGACCAGTTGGCGTCTGTAATCCAGCTCGGTTATTATCAGTGTCCAGACTCCAACTGGTCTTACACAGAGAGTTTAAGACCGGCCAAGCACACATTTATTCCCTTAATTATGACCCTAATAAGGAATACATCAGGAATGTTTGTGTCCTTTAGGCCTTTACAATGGAATAGAAAATAAATTGAAATGCAGAATGAAATGCAGATCAGTAAAGAGCATTAGAGCAAAATATTATTTTGTTTTAACCCCACTCAAATTAAAACTTACTGGACTGTATCTTTAGGTCTCCAAGTACAAGGAGAAGTCAACTACTCGTGTGACAACTACTGAGGCTCCCTCAACAACTGCCCAACCTTCAACAACTGCCCCACCCTCAACAACTGCCCCACCTTCAACAACTGCTCCACCTTCAACTACTGCCCCACCTTCAACAACTGCTCCACCTTCAACAACTGCCCCACCTTCAACAACTGCCCCACCTTCAACAACTGCCCCACCTTCAACAACTGCCCCACCTTCCAAACTGCCCCACCTTCAACAACTGCCCCCCCTTCAACAACTGATCCACCTTCAAAAACTGCCCACCTTCAACAACTGCCCCACCTTCAACAACTGCCCCACCTTCTACAACTGCCCCACCTCAACAACTGCCCCACCCTCAACAACTGCCCCACCATCAACAACTGCCCACCTTCAACAACTGCTCCACCTTCAACTACTGCTCCACCTTCAACAACTGCTCCACCTCAACAACTGCCCCACCTTCAACAACTGCTCCACCTTCAACAACTGCCCACCTTCAACAACTGCTTCACCTTCAACAACTGCCCCACCCTCAACAACTGCCCCACCTTCAACAACTGCCCCACCTTCAACAACTGCCCCACTTCAACAACTGCCCCACCTTCAACAACTGCCCCACCTTCAACAACTGCCCCACCTTCAACAACTGCCCCACCTTCAACAACTGCCCCACCTTCAACACCTGCCCACCTTTCAACAACTGCCCCACCTTCAACAACTGCCCCACCTTCAACAACTGCTCCACCTTCAACAACTGCCCACCTTCAACAACTGCTCCACCTTCAACAACTGCCCCACCTTCACAATGCCCCACCTTCAACAACTGCTCCACCTTCAACAACTGCCCCACCCTCAACAACTGCCCCCCTTCAACAACTGCCCCACCTTCAACAACTGCCCCACCTTCAACAACTGCTCCACCTTCAACAACTGCCCCACCTTCAACAACTGCCTCACCTTTCAACAACTGCCCCACCTTCAACAACCGCCCCACTTCAACAACGCCCCACCTTCAACAACTGCCCACCTTCAACAACTGCCCCACCTTCAACAACTGCCCCACCCTCAACAACTGCCCACCTTCAACAACTGCCCCACCCTCACAACTGCCCCACCTTCAACAACCAAGGAGGAACAACAGTTGTGACTTCTACCCTGAATCTACCACAAAGGAAGTCA